GTAATTTTATTTTTTAATAAAACCGACCAACTTTGGTCAGTTATTTTCGTGCGAAAATACAATTAAAGAGTATAAATGAAATAAAAGATAGTCTTAAAATAAAATGCACCAATGATCTAGCGGTAGAATAGTATCCTACCATAGTACAGACCCCGGTTCGATTCACAGATGGTGCATTTTCTAATTATATAATTAAAATACCGACCAACTTTGGTCGGTTTTTTCGGCATTTTTGTTTTTTAATTTAATTGACCGACCAAAGTTGGTCGGTAATTTCCGACCAACTTTGGTCGGTTTTTTCGGCATTTTTGTTTTTTAATTTAATTGACCGACCAAAGTTGGTCGGTAATTTCCGACCAACTTTGGTCGGTATGCCCTTCCAACCTTCAAAATATCCACCACACGTTAATGGTCGCATTTTGGACTGTTATTGGCCATTACCGACCAACTTTGGTCGGTTGTTTTGGACGCTTTTTCGCGAATTTCTAGTAGTGAGTCCACAATTGCACGTCACTAATGAATTGTCTCGTTTCACTTTCACCTGGCGATATAAAGGTTCTTCATCCGTCTATTCTTTTTTTCAGAGAAAGTAAAGGTACGATCCTCGATTATGCATTTTAAAAAGGAAAAAGGTCCGGATTTGTCCTTGTACTATTGTATATAATTTACATTTGTTCCTCGTTATACTTTTCGTTCAAATCCATTCTTACTGTTAACAAAGTAAGCAAAAATACCCCTAACCCTAACATTTTGACATTGTGGCACTCGGGGCCCTTAAATAAATTGCCACGTAATAATACATGTCAGCATTTTTATAAATTCACTACCCAATATATTGTTTTAATTTATTTTTTCTTTTTTCTTTTACTTTTCTCTTTCTTCTTTTTTCAACATCACTTCTTCTGCTTCTCCTACGCCATAGCCCGCTGCAAGCTGAAAGCTTTTGACACCCATCAAGGATTGTTTAAGTTCCTGATAATGAAATTAGAAAGAGAATGAGATAGTTTTTTCTGAATGGCTTAAAAATGTCAGGACTATTAGTTATGATTAATCCCAAAGGTGACAGGCCATTAATCTTCTTCCTCTCCGGCAGGCTTGTCAAAAAGATGCGATGATGGGAGACGATAAGCTAAATTGTCAATGGTTGAAACTGTCCAACATTGACCAATATTGCCTTTTGACTTTTCAAAGCAGTGTGTATATATTGACAGGCTAGTAATTTTCTCCATCTTTGGTGGTCTTGCCTGAAAAATGCCCGCGGGTGAAGAACCACGCTTAGATTTGGCCAAAAGATTATCGGTGAATTTTCTTTATCTTAACCTTTATTTGTCGCAGAACTTCCTCTGACCAACCTCAAAATCTTCATTGCTTTCACTTTTCTTCTCTAAAAATCCTCTTCCAGAACTCAAGAAAAACTTGGTTGCCTAAAATCGTGAAGGCGAGGTAGAGGCCAAGGTAGTATGGTACTGTCATGGGTGGTAATGAAGGTTTTCGCTGGGAACAATATCTTGATGTGAAGCCCCATTCTTTATAGATATGATAAAAAAATAAAAGGATCTAAGTTTGCTATAGAAATCAAAGTTGATTGATTGAATTTTGAATTCAACAGAGAAGATGATAACGCCAGAAACAGAGGAGAACGGGAGAAGAAAACGACAGAGTTAAAAAGTTAAAAATTAAGTGGGACCCACAAAATTCTCTTTATCTTGAATGATATATTTAAGGATTAAATGATAGAAATGCTGGCATGGCAATTTATTTGAGGGCCCCGAGTGCCACAATGACAAAACATTAGGGTTAGGGGTATTTTTACATACTTTGTTAACGGTAAAGATGAATTTGAACGAAAAGTATAACGGGGGATAAATATAAACTATATACAATAGTACAAGGACAAATCCGGACCTTTTTCCTTTTAAAATTCTCGAGAACCCTGAGATAATGAGTTCAAATTTGTTTGGACTAAATGACGAAAAGATAATTTAAGTTACAACTATTATGTTTAGCCGCCTTCGTCATATCAATGAAATGGTATTTATTTTTAAATATTATTTAAATATTGGCGATCTTTTATAATGAATTTGATGTCTCTAGATATATATATTTTCTATTTTTGAGATAAAATATTTGGGTGAAGTTATATTATTCGCTTGTTATTTATAAAGTAGAACTCTTTATGAGTTGTGAAAAATTTATCTCCTTAATCTGATATTTTTGAAAATGTGGGGGTCCGTAGTGTCCAGAGTTATATAGCTTGATCCGAAGAAGGACAAAGTTAGTAAAATTATTTATTAAAATTATAATAAAGCTTTACAAAATTGAGATTCTTTGTGGAAAAAATTTATATTGGAAGATCAAAAATATATGTTGTATTTCTGGATCTGAAAATTTATTTTGCTTGGGGTTTTTTAATTGTTTGGATGAAAAAATTATTGAATTATGACTTGTTTCCTACTAATTTGAGATATTCTTGTAGAAGTGAAAGTTGCTTCTATATCTAGAAAATTTTACTTTGGTATTATTGTATAGAAGATACCAAAAGAAAAACAAAATTTGTATGTGTTGAAAGATGTTTCAAATGACGCTTGTATGGAAGTCAAGTTTATTTTCATTTGAGATAATTTTATGCCTTACTTGTAAAGTACTATGAGTTAGTATGATGTATGTGAATTTTCCACTGTATGAGAAGATATAGTGATGACATTGAATCTCTGATTCAGATGAGAAAAACTCACTACTAATTGTGAGATTACCTTTTGATGGATGTTATGATATTCGAATTGCCTGGCAATGAGGTTGATTAAGCAACCTCTTGGCGAGAATTCCACTGGGAATTAAACCGACCATATTTGTGTCGATGAATTGTGATTGCCAAGATGCAATAGCCATTGTAAGAAAATAAATCTTTCAATGGGAAGAGTAGATATATTCTCTTGAGACATAATGTGATAAAGCAATTGTTTAGAGATAAGAATTATTTTTCATACATATAATGTGAAGTCAAAAGGGGATTTAGCCTATCCTTTGACTTATAAGTGAAACATCGAGGGGTTGAGATTTTTGCTAATTTGAGATGTATCGACAATGATGGTAACCCAATCTATGTGATTGAAAATCCCATGAAGTAGGTTCATATGGGTAATAACAAGTTATTAGTTGATCAAATATGCACTATTAAATTATGTCTCTTCCTATGGTGTGTGTGTATATAGTGCAAGACTTCAAGGAATGTGAGGTTGAGTTATTATACTCTTAATCCAATAATCCATAGTCTTTTGTAGGTGGTATATTGCGCTGCAGAATACACTTGATGGATGGACCTATATGAGTGTGGAGTGGGGTCGCTCCTATGAAATTTGTGACGAAATTTCTAGAGCACTCATGAAAATCAGGCACGCGCATGGCCTATTAGCGCAAAACCGCGATAACAACAGAAATTGTGGGGGTGTAATATGATGAATAAGGTCCCTAGCTTACAACAAGAATTTTTGGTTCAAAGAAGTTATCAACTTCACCAATTATTCAGTAAGTTAAATTTTATTTTATCTATATCTGGTTCATAGTCTATAAGACACCAGGTGAATTTTATTATGCCCGAAACCCATCAAATTATACTCTTTTTTTTTTGTTTACTATTTATTTTTATATCCCTTTTGAGATATATGTGGGATTCTTGTAAAATTAGTGATATCTCAAAAGGTAATGTCCATCTTGGTTTGAAAAATCTTTTCTCTTTGAAATATTATTTACATCTACTTATTATTTAGTAAATTATTTTACATTTAATAGAGTCAAACTAGTCGTTACTAGCCGTTATCTAGCCGTTGGAGCAACACCTATATAATCATGGTCTTTGGAGAGCTAAAGACACACTTCCTAACATAACTTTCTAATACAACTTTCTGAATCATCTTTTCCTCTTATATGCTGGTTCTCTTTCTTAAATTTTTTGTTAGTTTTGTTCCCAATTTAATAACTGGAAGAGCTTGTTGAATCCTGGGGGATACGCCTATTTTTATATATCACTGTGTGGACGAAATATCTTTAAGGACAATGTCCTTGACACGCCTCAAGTTAACTCCTATTCTCCATAACAATTTTTCCAACACTTCCATGAATAGCTAGCTCTACTTGATGTCACTTCCAACGTAACAGATGAAGACCCAATGCACAATTAGTACTAACTCTATATATGTTGTTCCTAATACGTGGTTTATTATCTGTGAGCTTCAAATATTTTAAGACTAGTTAAGTTGTCCGCGCCTCGCGCGATCAAAAATAAATTAAATGTGCCATATGATCTTGTTATAAATTTAGTGTACAATTTTTATGCATTAATATACACAATATAAATATCCTCTCGTTAGCTCCAACACTCATAATATCACCAATTTTAAAATTTATTCACGCACTTTACTAACTCCGAAATAGGAGACGTTCAAAGTTAAAAACTATTTAACAAAATAAAGTTTAAAAAGGAATTAAAACTACTCCATTTACTTAAAACCATTAAAATAGAGTTTATCGTCGTCTAACTAGTCATCTAACTTACAGCTCATTGAAAAATGCTAAAAGCATGTCGGAAGACTTAAGACATGTCGTGAATCGACCGACTAAAGTTAACCTCCATTTCTTTAATATGAGAGCTCCAAAAGGCATGACAATGGTAATACATCGCTTTTTAAACTCGGTTGTTGCTTTCAAATTCTATTGCCCCTCCTCCACATCTTTCATGGCAATATAATAATACTCATAAACACTCAACACTCTCTCTCTTTTTTTTTTTAATTGTTGTCGTAATTTTTTGTCATTTTTACTAAACTTAAATTTTTAAATGAACTGAGAGCATATAATTCAACAAATATAAGAGTTACCTTGCGCGATGGGTTAAATCTTTTATAGAATACGCAATTGTTCGAAATGAAACAAACTCATATATAATGACAAATACGATATTGCTTTGGAGAAACAAAAAGTGGACAAAAAATACTATTCCGATCCAAATCTCAAATAAAAAAATATATTCAAAACGTATGAATCTTTCTGCACCTACATAATCACTTAATATAGCAGATATTTTTTCCATAGAAGGAACGTATTCTACCATGTATTCTCATCATTATAAAATGCAATTTACACCAAAGGGCTAATAAACTAAGACACTTGATCATCAATGAGTGTATAACGTTATACTTTTCCTCAAAAAGATATCTACTTTCTTTCATTCCATAAAACTCTTGCGATGTAGACTTGGCAGGCTTCCAAATTCTCTTCAGTTCCTTCGTAAACTTGCATCACTCGTAACAGAAAAAAAGGTCGTTGGAGAGTCGGGCATCACCCAAGTCGATCTGAAAATCTATGTAACAGTTCTCACAACTACTTGCAATTTACAAGGGAGAAAAAGACTGCATGTAATTACCTTACATGTCTATTCCACAAATATAAGAACTTGATGCACAATACAGTGCCCCTTTTCTAAAGATTCATGTGAGCATTATCTATATACAATTGGAAGCATGCAAAATGCTGAAAAAAGGAAAAGGAAAAGGAAAGCAAAAATAAATACTATATCAGCAAGGTTCATCGGCACAACATCACAAGTCAAAGAAGAGGTCAAAGATACTTAGACCACAACAAATGATTAATCTCTACCTAAAGTGGGCAATGCTCACACTCCCATATCGAGATGAAACAACATTAGTTCTATTCCAATGAAGTACCTCCATTTTATCTTCCATTAGCCTCTATCAAACAAACAACATGAGATTTTCCCTACAAATGAGACCATAGAGTTTTGCTCATTAATCCTAATTAGTTATTACTAAATGGTTGTTAAGTTAAGAAAAATTTTAAAAATTGAATATGAATTAAGAAAGCTGAGAAACATAAAAAATTAAAATATCTCAGAAAAATCATTAAATTCTAAATAATAAGCAAACCAAAGAGTAATAATTTTAAGCCAAGTTAGAATCTAGAATATAGACAAAAAAAAATTATAAACAGATTTTTCTAAGGCATTGTATCGATTTCTCTTACCTTAAATACCAAAATGAAAGATACCAAAGCCAAACAAATCTATGTACTATTCGTAGGGGTGAGATCATATTAAATTCAATATAAAGTTGGTGTCTCATTGCTTCCATAATCGCATTATCAGGTTTGGAATTTGATGTGCTCTCTTACCCCATTTTGAATCTATTCAAATCTCTATAAAAAGGAAATTACGGGAGTAACAAAAGATTATCTTTTTGGGTCCATTTTCTTAAAATATATAAAGCAAATAGTTTTTGAAGATTTTCCCCTTTTAATCACCAAACCCACTGTATTTCAGAAGTGTGTTTATTTCTCAAAGTACTATCCAAAAGTATTTCTCAAGGTATTTTTTAATTTAGCTAATAAATTGTGAAGAGAAGATAATAAGTTGTCAACTGTTTGGTATTTATAGACTATAGTATAGGGCAATATTGTTGGTCATTTGGGTCATTGTACAAGTCAAATTTCTTCATTTTATATCCGTTTAAAATACTATATCGTTTTCATATAACCGTTCATTTTGTATTTATAATTTGATTACAATCTTTGCAGGCATTTTTGAAAGATTATCTAAGAATTATTTTCAAATGATAAATTCATCTGATTTTACTCTAAAATTGGTCAAATTAATTCTCAAAGAATCCAAAGGAAAAAATCAATGTAGGCTAATAGTGCACCGGACACAGCGTCAAGCAAAGGCATTATCTCAAAAGTCCACATAACTGTATAATGATTTTTATGTATATTCGATGGAAATTAATTGAATATCACAAAAAGAAAAAGAAAATATGCCAAAAGATGCAAACTTCAGTGCTACAGCAAACTTAAAATCAGGAAGAAATAAAGAATACTGGATACACATATAGTTAAAATACTCACCAAATATTTAGTCGAACAAACAAATCTCAAACCTGAAAAGAGGAGATATATCTTTGGCGAGTAAGAAGAACCAAGAATTCCGATATAGAAATAAATAAAAGGCCAACGAAACATGAGAGATAAGCAAATCACTTACCTCTGAGAAAGAAGCTGAGTGAGAAACGAAAGAAGAAAAAATAATCGAAGATGAAAGGAAGAGTTTTACTGCTGGCCAGTGGGAGGAAGAAGAGTAAAAGGAAATACGTTATGAAATGATGAGATTGATGTTAGAAAGGAAGAAGAGGAAGACAATAAAGCCCTAATTAAGAGGAGGAATTATGTAGAAGCAACGTTACAATTAAAACATGACGGTTCTAAAGGATTAGAAACTGTTTTTTATTATTTAAAATAGGATGAAAAATAAGGCTAAAAGTCAAAAATTGGAGGAAAAAACAAAATGTACATCAACTTGTTAGGCCCCTCTTTTATATATTTATATAGATATAGATATAGATTGTGAAAGATGCTTGCTTACTTTGTCGGATACTTGTTATAGAAAATGGTTGCAATTCTAAGACTGTAGTAAAAAATTTATCATATTGAAAGGACTGGAGTCTCAAGTTGGGGTTTCTGCAAGAAGTATATCACTATCTCAGCATGACGATGCACTTTTGATTAAAGTAGTGAATAAAGGCATTAAACCATATGAATTATTCTAAACGGAAGAATTCCTTTGAGTATGGATTTACTTTCTTGAAGTTAAAGCGTCTTGTGCTACCTTGGTGATTTGAGTAGAAGGCGCTTCAAATACTCAGATATCTTAAGAGCAAAATGTTCGTAATGTCACTGCTCAAGTAGAGACATATGCTAGGAAAAACATCTACCCAAATTAAGCTGTGCTAGCTTTTAGATCATCATTCATTTGAGTCATTTATTCCCGCAAATCTTCCTATCAAACAATCTTTCTCTTGCTTCCTTGGCCTGTAAAGTTGAAATTAAACCAGAAATAATCAGAGTTTTTAATGCTTCAAAGTAAAAATAGAAAAAACACTATTTTCATCTTTTGTGTTAGCTACCAGTTTTTCCCAATCTGTGAGACCAGTAATAATACAGAGCAGAATAGCTTGCACTGTTGACCCCATCAATAATCCACACCAAAGGCCCTTTGCTTTCCAATTCCAAACAAATCCCATGAGTAAAGAAGCAGGAATTCCAACCAAGTAATATGATCCTAAATTCACATAGGCCCCTAATTTTTGCCATCCACTTCCTCTTGCTACTCCTGATGCAGGAAAAAGAAAGCATGTTAATAAACTACTACTAGTAATTAACTGCATTTCAACTATCTATACAACAACAATAACAATCCTAGTGTAATCTCACAAGTGGGATCTGGGGAGGGTAGTGTGTACACAAACCTTACTCCTACCTTATGAAAGTAGAGATGTTGTTTCCGAGAGACCTCCGGCTCAGAAAAAACAGTCACAACATAATTGAAAAGAAAAACATCAACGAAAAAACCATAAAAAAAGAAGCAGTAACCAAAGCAAAAGAGACAACCGGTAGCAATAGAGTATAAGAAAATACGAGATGTAACCATTTTGAATATTGTTTATTAAACTAGACGAAAAGAGTAGTGATGGAAAAAATGACCTGATAATACAGTAACTGTACTATAAACGATGATGGAGAGGCAGAGAAGAGGAGTAATTTCTGTGATAAGATCGACGACTTCTTGGTCATGTGTGAAAGCATATCCCCATACATTACGCAAGGAAAACAGAATTCCACTTGCTAGAAGAAACTCTGCAGCTGCTAGAGTGAAGACTGCATATATAGAAACTCTTGCTGCTTTTGGATTCCCAGCTCCTAACTCATTTGAAATTCGAATGCTACAAAATAGTTATGAAGTAATTTAAGAATGTCATTTAATTTGAACCATACTACGATTCTTTCTTTACACCAAACATAATCAGTGTAAGGAAATATGTTGAAGAGAAAATTAACCTTGCAGCAGCACCGAAAGAAAAGGGTAAGTTGAAGTGTATTGAAGATGTTGTAAGGCTGCATATCCAAAGAAATTCAAACAATGTACTTTGTGTGTTAGAAATTTATAAGGAAAAACATAATCAGACTGTAAGATGTAATATTAACATTGCCTAAACAGACTTTGGCGCTGCAGAAAATGCTTTCCTGGGACACAACAATCATGTTTGGAGATGTTATGAAGCGACTGATTTTGAAGTGAAACAACAATCTTATATGCAGAACGTTAACAGATAATTTCAGAATTTCAGTTGGGTTTGTAACGTTTCAGAACAGGGCTTCAACCTTATTAGAACAGACACATCATTTTGAAATTTAACTGTTAAAAAATAGGAAAAGGATGAATTAAGTATTTAAAGAATTGAAGGCATGAAATGGAATATGAAAAGGTTGTAGAGTTGCATACCAAATAGATAGAACAGAAGTCTCTAGTTGTGGATTTGGCAACAATCCACCGAGTAATGTAATTATCTCGACTGCCCACCATCTCAAACTACGAAGAAGATATAAAATTAATAATGAAGCCTTCGATAATAAGATATCAGAAGCAAGACTAAGGGAATATCAAAATTCTGGAAATACTAAACTTATATAAAGTTGACAATAAAATATGTACCCAACCATTCCAGCAGATGGAAAAGCAAATTGGAAGAACTCTGGCATAACATGGAAAACATCCTTTGAGAAAAAAGGACGTGTCTTTTTACAGGTTGACGAATACTTCAAATAAATCACAAGCAAGATGACGTTCAACCAATATGATAAACCAATTGCTATAGCTGCACCAATGGTCCCAAAATTAAATTTGAATATGAAAGCCCAACTGAGAGGTATGTTAAAACATAGAGAAACGATTGAGCTCCATAAGATTGGAAGGATCAAGCTTTGAGCCTGGAAATAGCAAAACAATGACTGAAGAATAGCATAGGGAAAGAGAGTTGGGATGAGCCAAATTGAATATTTTCCAGCTTCAACAGAGATTGATGGGTCTTGGCCAATCCATAAAAGCAAATTTTCAGTGTAGATCCATAGAAGAGATATTGGCAAACAAAAGAATAAAAGAAATATGAGTGCAGCATAAGTAATAGTGCCAACTTTCTGATACTGCCTTGCTCCATAGGCCTGTCCACATAAAGTTTCTAGTCCACTTGCCATTCCAAACTGCAGTACCCAGATTCAGATTCAACCAGCTTTAATCAGTCAACAAAAATCAGAAAATTTAAAAGAGAAAAAGGAGGTAGGTAGCTAGCTAGCTTACAAGAATAGCAAAGCCAGTAACAGTGCAATAAGATGTGGCGATAGAGGCACTAGAGAGGGAGAGTTCACTTAAGTGACCCAACATAACCATTGGTGCATAGCGTAAGAGGTATTGGCACATCGTCCCAACTATCATAGGAATTGCTAAGCGACTCACTTCTTTCACCTCTTCTTTAAACACCACCCTTTTGCTGATTATCACATCATTCAATGGCAGCAGAGCCTCTTCCATTTCAGAAAGGCACTCCTTCTCTTTCACACTGCCAATGAATTGTTCAGGCTTAAGGCACCGATTGATATTTATTGGAGTAGTTCATAATCTACCAGAATTCAGGGGCGGAATTATAGGCAAAAATCATTTATGTATATATTTTTTTAAATTCATATAATATTAACCGATGACACTCGTGTTCTAAGAATGTTGAATGATGCACGTGTTTAAAGGTACTAGAAATCTTAGATTCGCGAGACAACCTTAGATAAGATTTAAAATTTGCCAAAAAAAGATTCAGTCATAAATTTATAATTTTCTCACCGTTCGCGTGGAACATTTATTAAACTCATATATATGTGCAGGTTGACCAACTTGAAATTTAATGTGATATCGTGGAATGAGTAACGGAATACATTTTTTTATTCGATCGTATATACTAGTACTATGAAGGTCCTAAAGTTGAATGAAACATGAGATATATTATATATAGACTAGTGGTAAAAAAGATCCAGTGATAGTTTTATAATTTTCTTGTCTTTCTCATATAAATTCTTGTGGTCCGGCCATTCTCCGATCCCGCGCATAGCGGGAGTTCAGTGTACCGGGTTGCCCTTGTCGTTTTCATGGAACATTTTTTAAAACCCATATATATTTATGGGTCATTGGGTTGAGCAATTCAAAATCTTACGTGATCTAGATCGTGGAATGAATCAGGGAATACCTTTCTTTTTATCTGATCATTATTCGAAACTAGGTCCTTGTACTGTTGGATGAAACGTGACATACACGACCTATATATCCGGATATTATTTGAAGGAAATAGAGACCTCTCGATCTCTACATTTATCTTTGTAAAACTAATTTCTTCTATTTGAGAAATTAATGTACGTACTACGTACATACATTATTTTGATTTCTTTTTCTGCAATGACACTTTTTTAAATAACAAATCTTTGCTAATATTCACCCCTTTTGTGGGTTTGGTTAATGAAGAAACCATTAGAGGAAGGACCATTTCCAAAATTAAACATCAAATTAGGATCTAACATTATAATATTCTAAGGTAATTAGGCAACCCACCAGCCACATTCCCGTGTTTAAAGTCAACCCACCTTTCAATTGGATTAATCTGATGTTTGCACCATTTTTCATTTAGACACCTAAACTTAAGGGTATTCCAATTGAACACTTATAGTACCCTAAATTTTTCCAATTAGACACTTTTTTGACAATTAGCCAAACTTACAAAGTGTGTGCGATGCACTCGCTGCTGACATGGCGAATGACAAATAAAAAAATCATATATCATTTTTAGTTTAAAAAAAAAACTATTTAAAAATCTATTTAATAAACAAAATAAAATAACATTCTCAAAAAGAAAAAAAAAACTTTAATTTACACCCAATCAGAAAATGACACATTATTAACAAAAGAAAAGACAAAAGAAGGACATATTGTTGTTCTTGAAATCATTATTCTTGGTGTTCTTCACTATCTTCATGCGTATTCTTGTTCCAACCACGATTTTAATCCAAAATTTCAAGAGAAACTCCTCCAAATTTGTTATAACTTCAGCTAAAGTTTCCCCACGAAGACTCGAAGACAACCCCAATATTAATTTCTCAAATTTTCATCAAATCAAGTAACCCATTTTAAACCTTCAAGCTTTCTTAAAGATTCCATTAATGGTGTTTTGACTTCAAATGAAAAATACGGTCTCACTTCGGTTTCAATCAACTTAGACGATTGCTGGTTCAAACTTTCGGGCTAAATTAATGGTAGAGGCACAACAATGGTGAAAGTGGGGGAGACAATGGTGGAAGTGATGGTGGAGAGAAAAGAAGAAGAAGAAGAAGAAAGAAATAAGAAGAAGAAATCTGTTTTTTGGGTTTTTCACGCGCCTATTTTAGGTGAAGTTCACTCTATGTGCCAACTTAGCAAAATGTGTCTAATTGGAAAAGTTTAAGGTAAAATAATTGCTCAATTGGAACACCCTTAAGTTTAGGTGTCAAAATGAAAAGTGGTGTCAACTTTAAATGTCTCTAGATGTATTCAGCCTAATTCACATGCTTAATTTGATGATTAAAGCTCTACAGGCATGTATGGATGATGATAGCTAATTATATAGAGCTAGTTCTAAGCTTGTTGCCAATTTAAGTAAGCCTCACTTTCTTTCTTTTTCAAAGAGTATATATAATTATGTGTGTATTTACCCTGCTTGTTGATTAAAGCTTGTTGTTATATANTTCAGCAAATAGTGAAATTCAATATTTCTAATTAAATTCTAAATAAATATTTGAAATGCTAGGGCATACTAGGGGTGTCAATGGGTATTCGAAAACCGACTGAACCGTACCGCGTCGAATCAATTTTTAGGTTTCTTTTAAAGAAACCGTAGATTTTATATAAATCTATAACCACACCAATATTTAGGGTAGGTTTTTTATTTTATAAAAATAAACCGAAAAAATACCGAACCGTACTGAATAAATTTTACATGTGAAAAATATTTTTATATAATAAGTTTAAAAATAATAAAGCATTAAATTTTTCTTTGGGCCTTGTAATTATGAAAACTCTTACAAGCCAACAAGTAATTAAACTCAAAATACTAATTTCTAAAAGGGATTTTTACCTTCCTATACACTATTTGAACCTTATTACCCTCCCTACTCATATTTTAATTTAATTACATGGTCATATATAATTTACCAATTATATACAAATATGTTTTAAATGAATATCTCTTTATATTAGGAATTGAATAAGGAATATTATTTATTTCCTTATCCATTTATACTTGCCCACTCTCTCTCTCTCTCTCTCTCTCTCTCTCTCTCTCTCTCTCTCTCTCTCTCTCTCTATCTCTGTCTTCTTTCTCTACTCTCCTTCTCTGTTTCTTTTTTCCAATTTTTCTTCATTTGATGTTCTCTATTTTTTTATGCTTTCTTGTTGTATAGAGTTTTAATGGAATTCATCAATGGATTTCAATCATTTTAACTTAGTAATTTTCTTTCATATTGCACAATTGGTGTTCAAATTGAAATTGTCAATCAATAAATTTTTAAGGTGTTTGACTCTCCACCATTGACATCCATTAAAAAATTTTGAAGCTTTGAATTCGAATTTAGGTTTTCAAAAAAATTATTTGTTTGGATTGGATGTTGTTGCAAATAATTGGGAAAATTGCTTGGAGTTTATATCTCACTTTTGAGGGTATTTGGTGAAGATTAGACTAGGTTTNAAGGCATATCAGTTTATGATTTGAAAAGACGAATGCTCAAGGAAGTTAAAATTGCAAATCCTGAAGATTTACTTCGCTTTAGTTGGGAGGATATAAGGACCCGTAAAATATTTTAATAAAAAACTCGGGGTTTCGTGGTGCCAAGTTAGATTCCTGCGTTATTATAGCAGAAATTCTTCGCGAAGAGCTTGCGAGCCGCGGTTCGAACTTTTTAGATTGAACAATACCCTACGGACTGAGAGAAAAATATTTCACAGAAGAACGCATTTCTGCGGCCCATTATGCGGCCGCATAATCACTCTGCGGACCGCATAATGGCCACAGAGTGAAGTAGTACGTTGGCCAGTTTGAGGTCAGCTTTGCGGTCGATTATGCGGCCGCATAACTACTATGCAGACTGCATATCGATCGCATAATCCCTCTTGGATTTTCGTGGAGGGAGTTCTGCGATGCATTATGCGACCGCAGAACGAGTATGCGGATCGCATACTGGTCGCATACCTGAGCCGTATGTTCAGACCCCCGAGGGCCATTTCTGCGGTCACTTTGCGGACCGCATAACCGTTTGTGATGACCCAAAATGTCATCTTTAAATTTAATAATTAATTATATGATCTAAGCACTATTTACCATTACTCGACTTGCATGTACAGTCCGTAAAAATTTTCCGAAAAGTTTTCACGTGAAAAATGAATTAAAATGTGAATTAAATATTTAAAACACAACTGAGTTGACTTTGGTCAATATTTTGAGCAAACGGACTCATATCAGTATTTTGACAGCTCCGGTAGGTCCGTATCGTGAATTGGGACTTGGGCGTATGCCCGAAATCAAATTCCGAGGTCCCTAGCCCGAGATATGAAATTTTGATGAAAAATTTAAAGTTTGAGTTCAAATAGTGACCGGATGTCGAATTATGTGCAAATGACTTCGGAATAGAATTTTGATGATTCCAACAGCTCCGTATGGTAATTTTGGACTTAGGAGCGTAATCGGAATTTTATTTGGAAGTGTGTAGTGAAATTAGGTTTGAAATGGCTAAAATAGGAATTTAAAGTTTGAAAGTTTGACCGGGGAGTTGACTTTTTGATATCGGGGTCGGAATCTAGTTCTGAAAATTTTTACAACTCCGTTATGTCATTTATAAATTGGATGCAAAATTTGAGGTCAATCGGACTTGATTTGATAGGTTTCGACATTGAATGTAGAAGTTGAAAATTCTAAGTTTCATTAAGCTTGAATTGGAGCATGATTCATGATTTTAGCGTTGTTTGATGTGATTTGAGGTTTCAAATAAGTTTGTGTGATGTTTTAGGGCTTGTTGGTGTTTTGGGTTGAGGTCCCGAGGGCCTCGGGTGAGTTTCGGATGGTTAACGGATCAAAAGTGGGACTTAGCTGCTCCAATTTTTCTGCTGGAAATGCTGTCAATATCGGGCTGCCTGTCAAAATCGAGGTCCCTGTCAAAATCGAGCTCCCTGACAAAATCGAGCTCCCTGACAAAATCGAGCTCCCTGATAAAATCGAGGTCCCTTACAATCGAGGTCCCTGACAAATCGAGGTCCCTCACAAAATCGAGGTCCCAAGATCGAACGGGACAGATCGATCTCCCAAGATCGAACTGGACAGATCGAGCTCCCAAGATCGAACTGGACAGATCTGTAAGTTATAAAAAATAGTGGCATTCAACATTTGCCATTTTTGACAAACTTGAGCTTGAACAGAGGCGACTTTTGACAGATTTTCAAGGAAAGACATTTGGGGTAATTGATTCCAACTCGGATTTGGTCTATATACACAAATATATCATTATTTTCACCATTTAATTAGTGTTTTGAGATTG